AAGCATGGGATAAAACCGGACTCTCTGAACATGGCGGACAATGAGGGCTGCTGAGAAGCCAAGGACAATGGCACTGGATTTTGATCCTTCTTCATGTTCTGGCTTTGTGGGAGCCTAGCCAGTTTGGATGCTCGCCTTCCTAGACCTGGATGGAGGGGGGAGGACCTTGGACTTTCCACAGGGCAGGGAACCCTGACTGCTCTTTGGACTGGAGAGGGAGGGGGAGAGGAGTGGGGGGAGTGGAAGGGAAATGGGAGGCTGGGAGGAGGCGGAATTTTTTTTCAATAAAAAAATCTAAAAAAAAAAAAAAGAAAAAAGAAATACGAAGAGATAGTAGAAAGTCTAAGCAATTCCTGCCCATGTGAAGATGTTCTCGGGATCATTTACGACAGGTGAAATGCAGATAAAAAATTAAACTGAATGTCAGAGCTACACACACAAAGACTTACCAACAGCGATGTTTAAACAATAGCTAAACAAAGACAACACCAGTAGTCATGTCAAAGTGGACAGGGGAAAGCCAAGATGCTGCAACACTACACAAAGAGGAGAAAATGATCTTCTCCAGGGAAGCACATGGCAGTGGGCTGTCCAAAAACAAAGTTCAGCCCAGAAAACCATACAGACAAGGAGCATTCTAAGACCGAAAAGGTTACACTTAGGAATATGTATATGTATGTACACACACACACACAAACACATAATAACAAGGAATGAAAAAGAGACCATAAATTTGAAAGACCGCAAGGGTTCTTTAGTAGGGTTTGAAGGGAGGAAAGGGAAGAGAAAAATGATGTAATCAAATTATATTCTCAAAATAAAAGCAAAAGTCACACTGAGAAATTATTTCTCATGTATAAGAAAGGAATCAAAATTTAGTCCAAGCTTTCGATGCCACAGTGATTAAACAAGAATCTCCAATACTGTCTGTGGGAATTGCACACAGCGGAGGTACTAGGAAGAAGTTATTGAAAATATTTAACAAAATTGCATATGTATTCATACTTCAAGGTAGCAGGCTCACGCTTATGAATCTATCCCAGAGATATATGAGCTAAAATACAAAGTTATGAGCATAAGTTTATTTATGCCAACATTATTTTTGGTGAAATGAGTTTATATGTATATTTTTGAATAGACATGCATATATCCATATATAGATGAGACTGAATAAACTTGGATGCATGCACAGAGTATATGATTGCACACATTTTAAACTGAAATGAGAAGCGGCTACATGTGCCCCTTTGGAACAACATTCCAGGTCCTGCGTAAGACCGTTATAAGAGCTCTAGGACATTACTCCATACAAAGCAGGTAACTGAAGGTAACCATACCTGCGATGCATGCTTCCTTCTCAGGTGAGGTAGCATCTATACCAGAGTATCCCTGTGGTGTTTGAATCACCATGGTCCCCATTCAGGCATATATTTAAAGAGCTCATATATTTAATGTTTGGTTCTCCTTTGGTGGAAATGTTTGGGAGGGATTAGCAAGTGTGGTTTTATTGAAGGACGTATGTCACTGGAGTGTAGAGTCCTGAAGTTCCCCCCCCCGTTTGTGTGTGTGTGTGTGTGTGTGTGTGTGTGTGTGTGTTTGTGTTCACGCATGTGCGTGCATGTGTGTGTGTGTGTGTGATGGTTCTGGCTTGAGAAATGAGCTCTCATCTACTTTCCAGCATCAGGCCTGAATGCTCCTACCATGCTTCCTTCCATGATGCTGTGGATTCTAACCCTGTAGAATTATGACACCCCAAATTAAATGTTTTCTATTATAAGGTGTCTTGTTGTGATAATGGCATTTTATCAAGACAATAAGAAAAGTTACCTGGACAATCTCTGAAGGGTTGCTTATCTTAATGTTTCTGCAGATGGTCATCTCTGGCTTTTATTGAGATTAGTTTCAGCTAAATCTGTAAAATCCTGCCTCCTTCCTCTCTTCTCTAAATGTCTGATCCCTGTAAGTACATTCTACTAGTCCATTACATTTATCACAGAATCTGCTTCCTTGTAGACCCAGCTTGAACATTTTTAATAGCCCAGAAAGTCAAATTTGTAAGGTAACTTTATAGCTGCACTGATTCTCATCACACACCAATAACACAGTGGAGCACAGGAAACTCTATTCCAACCTGATCGTCCAACATAAACCAGACAACATTGTGTACTGGAATAATGTACTAAAGGGTGAGAATGAAGGGTTGCTACAGTATATGAGCTGTTTAAGACATACAGGAAAATAACTGTAATAGCAAGTACATGCCTGTCTGTAATCCCTTCATGTGGGAAGTCAGGGGCAATAAAGGCCAAGTTCAAGACTAGGTTGGTCTCATACATGGAAAGACTTTATCACAAAACGTAAGGTAAAAGAGGAAGGAAAAAAGAAAAGAGAGAGGTGAGTGAGGGACAGTGAAGAAAAGAAAATCATAGTCATATTGCATAGTTTTAGCTAAGCTTGATAACTCAGGTGAGGCAACCTATAAACGATCATGATAATTAGAATTGCAGAGGCAGGCAGATCTCTGTGAGTTCGAGGCCAGCCTGCTCTACAGAGCAAGCACCAGACGCAGTAACTTCCCCAGCCAGGCAAGATTTCAATGAATTTCCTTGAAGAAAAGACCCATATCTTGTTCAAGCAAGAACTCCCATTGTGCCTTCTTAATGAGGAATGGACAGCTCCTGGAAGTTACGTCCACCTAGAGTAATTTCAGCTATGTCAGCCTAGGTATAACCATCTCATGCGCCCACTCCTGTAATGAGCTTATGTTAGCATCTACAAACTTAGCCTACAATTCTGAGGATCAAACCGAGGGTGTGTTCCTTAGATTTCCTAATATGTTAGCAGATTCCTTGTAAACGATAGGGAATTTATTCTTAGTTTTTTATTGTTGTTGTAGGTTTTGTTTTGTTTTGTTTTGTTTTTCAAGGCAGGGTTTCTCTGTGTAGCTTTGGAGCCTGCACTGGGTGCTCGCTCTGTAGACCAGGCTGGCCTCGAACTCACTGAGATCCACCTGCTTCTGCAGAGAAGGGATCACAGCTTCAGAAAACTGCAGAATTTACCATCAGGAAACATGTATTATACCAGTGGATTACGAATGTAAAAATATCTTATGGGAGGTTTTAATTAGGAAATAATTATGTAACAGCATCACCCCAAGCCCTGGCATCTTATATCTAAAGAGTCTGGAATGTTCAGGTGGAAGTTCCATCCCAAGCCCCCTTCGCTGGGAGTTGCCTCAGCCCAGACTCTGCACCCAAGAAAGTCCACCAATGACCCCTTCCCAGAGATGCTCAAGACAACTCCCACAGGGTATTTAAACTGCCACCCATTCCCCAAAAAAAACATACATGTGGTTTTCCAGTCTTCCTTTCTCATCTCTCTGGGAGCCTTGGAAAGGCTTCAGGGCACATTTGTCTCCATTAAACCTCGGCTTTGTCTAATTCGGTTTGATTTTGTCTGATTTGGGTTATTGTGGTAGTGGAGAGGCTTATTGGAATACATAAGCTTTTGATTAATATAACGGAGAGTAGGGAAATTGATCAGAGAATCCTCTTCTCTAGAATATGGGCTATAACTGCTTGTCAAGCACCTAACATGATTATGAGAATTTGCTACTAGGGCTGCTGCAGAAGCTTAGAAACTAAGTGTTACCGACTAAGTGAAACAGAAACAGCAGAATTACACAGCAGATGGTGGAAATAGTATTTAAGAGTAGCAGAAGTGGGTAGCGAGAATATAACATGTAAGGATAGAAAGCTCATAATATTTATCCAAACCAGGAAGCGTGTGCTATCGAGAGCAGTGGCGCATCACGTTAAAGTTAGTGTGGCTCTCCTCTGGGCTAGTAGTGATGAAAATGACATTATAAAATGAAACCTGATGAGTCTGAATGGAATTGGCTCCCATAGGCTCATAGGGAGTGGCCCTATTAGGAGGCGAGGCTTTTTGGCGTAGATATAATCTTGTTAGAGGAAGTGTACCATTGTGGAGGAAGGCTTTGAGGTTCGCTTTGCTCAGAATATTGCCGAGTGTCACAGTCTACTCCATGGTGCCTTCTAATCAAGATGTCACCAGCAACATGTCTGCCTGCTGGCTGCCATGCTCCCTGCTATGATGATAATGGATTGAACCACCGAAGCCACCTCCTCAGTTATAAGAGTTGCCATGGTCATGGTGTCTCTTCACACTAATAGAAGCCCTAAGACACCTGGCAACAGTATTCATGTGAAAAGCCACAAAAGAGTAGAGTTGAAGCAATAAGCAGTGGCAGAATTTAGGGAGACTGTAATTCTTAGAGGGGAAAGACACCAAGATGGTCTGACCAGGGAGTGCTGACCTTGTTAACGTAGAGAAATGATGAAGAGAATGTGGCTTCTCTCAGGGCAAAATAAATGAGCAACACAAAAGCATACTGGCCAAGTTTTGAAATAAAAAGAATCCAACAGTAATCACAAGTATCAGGATAGCTGTCCTGATCAAACAGCGTGACTCAGGCCTGGCAGTGCCTGCTCTCTGCTTCCTGAATTAAAGAGGTGAGCACCAAGGACAATGACAGAGGTCACACACTTTCCTGGAGGGTCCTGCCATCATCTCTCCTCTGGATATTCAAGAAATGGAAATATTATTTAGTCTTTTATGTTTATTTTCATGTTGAAAGATGACAAAAGGCAGCTCTTTCCCAGAACAGCAAACACAAACATCAGTTTCCATCATTAGTCATTACAGAATGCAATTAAAATCAAAATGTCAGCATGAAATGACTCCATCCTTGTGTTGGAGTGAAAAAATAACTAAAATAGTGGTACCATATGCTGATAGATGTGCAGAGGAGCTGGAAGAGAGCTCAGGGGTTATTCTGTAAGATGGTTTTGGCAGCCTCTTAAAGACATACGTATGAAGCTGTCATGGGTTTCACCAGCTGCACTCTCAGGGATTTGTCAAAGAAAGTTAAAGTGATATGCAAGAAAAAAAAACATGTATATAAAAGTTCAGAAAGATTTTATTCATAATGTGCAAGATTACAAATAAGTACAAAAGCTAAAGATCAAAAGAACATTAAGTTGTCAATGAACAAATGGCCTAATGAAGCACACAGTTCCATAAAAAAGAAACACAAGATTATTACAAAGTATTCAACATCCCTGCCCATTAGGGAAATAAAAATCAACATTCCTTTCAGATGCCTAGTTACCTAAGCCAGAGTGACTATACACAATAAATCTCACAACAAATGCTGGCAAGGCTGTGGGGAAAGAGAAAACCTATTCAATCCTGATGGCAGTGCAAATTACTACAGAGAAGAATGTGGGTAAATAAACCTGAAATGACCATTCTGAGAATATATCTACAAGTAACATTATCTAGGTGTATCACATTATGTTAAGGAATTTACATGTATATAACTGTACACATATATTAACAATTAATGTAAAATGGCTTCAAATTTGAAAGAGAACATGGAGAGGTATATGGGAGGGTTTGGAGAGAGGAAAAAGAACAGAGAAATGATGTAATTATGTTATAATCTCAGAAATAAAAGAAATTATTTTAAAAAATGGCACAGATTACTCAAGTGGAAAGGAGATGAGGGGAAGGTTTCTAAGGTGATAAGGAAGAGAGGGGAGAGGAGGAAGGAGAGAACACACTAATGCAAACTTCTTGAAAATGTCAGAATGATATAGACTACTCCATATGATAAAAAGGGGAAAGAAAAAGAGTGGAAAGGACAGATGAGTCAGTCGACAGTGTTTGGGAAAACTGATTCACCACCTGGGGAGAATGAAACTAGTGTACAGAAGGGTTGGCCCTCCGGAATAGAGATCCGAGTTTGGGAAGCTCTACCAGGCGGAACTAGACAACATTGGAGCCAGATGCAGCAGGTGGCAGCTGCTTTCGTGATCCATGACATCTCAGTGGGGAAAACGTAAGTTGCATATCATGTGGTGTAAGTGTGCGTTTGAGGCAAAGGTTGCAGGTATTCGGTCTTTATTCAGTAGTGTGCAAACCAAGTAAATAACTTCTCCTGTTAGGACAAAATGCATATTGAATTACATGTCTTGCATGTTTTCTCCCATCTCGACAAATTAAATCAACTTTTACCTCCTTTTTTGTAATCTTTTTTGAGTATTTTATACATGAGGATGCAGCATTTACATGGCTTCATGGCATCTTTAAAGATTCTGTCTTCTGTCTCTGTCTGTCTATCTGTCTGTCTGTCTGTCTCTTTCTGTCTTCATCTCTGTCTCTCACATATGCACATGCACACACATACACACCTGCACGTGCCTGGGCACCCTACTGAGTCTCTTCAGTGTAGCTTATACTATACATAGGAGCTGAGGGTTGATCATTTGCTATTGGATAACTGATCTGGGAGATTGACCCTGGAGAAAACATATTCTCCATCTGTCAGCAGCTTTCCCTTCCTGTACTACTTCCTCTGGGACTGTTTGCCTTCTTGTATGAACTTTAAATGAGTTAATGGAAGAAAGTATTGTTCCATAGTGTTTATTCAACAAGGTCAGCTTCTTGCATGCTGTTTTCCCCTGCATTTACTGATGACTGAAACATAAAGTGAACAAAATTAGCATGTGATTTTGTGGTTTGGACAGAAATACACATCATGTTATTGTTACTGTCTTCAGTAAAATACACATTTAACCTCCAGAAAATAAATTGACATTTCTGCATGTGAATGAAAAATAGAAATTATTCAGAGAGTCTGAAGAATACATACTAATACATATAAATCAATATTGAAAAGAAGAGTGGTTTTCATAAAACTGAGTAAATGAACGCTTTATGAAAAAGCCTTCTTCATTATCATTTTGCTTTACTATAGCATAAAAATGGAACACAAATATATATTATAATAATCCCTCTACTGAATAATATTCCCTGAGTTGGTAACATGTTCTATACGCTGCAGCATCTCCTACTTTCCTTTCTTATCTTTTAACTTACCATTCCCTTTCTCATTTTTCCTCACAGGCATGAGAAATATGCACTTATTAAGAAATTCTTGGTGTTTATTAATTGCAAGTACTGTCATCTGCACTCGACTAACATTAAAGTAAGAAGTTCAATACAAAGCTGGACAAGCAAAAGCAAATATTAGGAAAATAATATACTAGGGGATTCCTCTTGGAAATGTGTATGTTCTCAGAATGTTAGTAGTCAAAATGCCAGCAACCCCCAAAGCTATACACTTCGTAAATATATAGTGCTTACACTAACCATATTGTGATGAAGAACACCATTCTCTTTCTTATAAAAGCATCTATAACGGTGTAGTATTATTACAAATCACTAAATTTAGTATACACATTTATTAGCACCTAATAAACCATAGATAGCAAGCACAATGCTGTGGAAATTTAAGACCTAGCACTAAAAGAAAACAAAATAACATTATATTACCCTTTATTTCGCCTCTGTAATTTTTCACCATCACCTCCATCTCTTCCCTCTCTTGTGCTCTAGTCTGTTCAGGAAGACAGTTGAATACACTGGGAAGATTCGACAATAAACATTCATTTTTTACTGCCATGGAGACCGGAAAGTCTAAGATTAAGGTCAAGGTGCCAGAGGGTTTGAGGCTTCCAGATGATTATCTTGTCCTTGTACTCCTTCATGACAAAGAGAAGGAGAAGAAGGGGGAGGGGGAGGAAGATGAGGGTGAAAGAGAAAAAAAAAAGTTTGGTCATATCTGTATTTATAGAAGTACCAATTATATAATGAAGTCTCTGCTCTCTGAACCAAGGCACTATCATCACACACCATCACATCTGACTTAGGATTTCACTTTAAACGTTTGAAGAGAGCACTGAGTCCATGTCCTTCCTGGTACAAAGTATCTTCATGATATTCTCTGAGCCAGCTTCAGAAAAAGGTATATATAACTGAGTTCTTTAATACTGTTTTTACCTATCAACAGCAGGGGTCATGCACCTGAACTCCTACATAGAGCTCACACAAGGAATAGAAAGGGCCTACAACAATTGCATTATGGTATAAGCCTCCAGGAATCATTTACACTCCTTTTCCTTTCATCCTTATTACCATGAATGAAGAGGAACAAGCAGAAAAAATGGAATTTCCCTAACTAATTTTGCTAAGTGTGTATTTGGGAAGATTAAGACAAGTGAGACCTGTAATTGCAGTTTATGATATAAAAATTATTTGTGTGCTGGGAGGTAGACAATTTAAGCATAAATGAATGGCATCATATATTTAAGGTTGTCCCAAACCCTGTTATAACTTCATCAGTATACTAATTTGTCACCTGAGATCAGAGGCAGGATGCTGAGGGCTTGGAATAATTTTCAGCAAATAAATCAGACCTTGTGATTATTTTAAAATTATCTTTCAGATAATATAACACGATAAAATTGATAACCTTCCTTTTTATTTATCCACCAAGTACTTCTTCAGGCTGAAACAAGCAGGAATGTGATTATTCACTAATGAGAAATTCATATATCTGGAAATAAATCTTTGGAAGTGTGTGACTCAGTGTTTTCTGTTATGTTCACAAAGTTATGTGACCACAGTTATCTAGTTCTAGGGCAACGTTGTTTTGACCAGTAAAAATTCCATCCTATGAGCAGCCTCTGACATTCTCATCTAGACTCTAGAACTACTATCTTGACAGGTTTGGGCACTTCACACAAATGTGATCACATGGTCTAAGACATATTGGTCCTGGCCTCTTTATTTAGCTAATTTTCAATTCACTCTATAACACGGTATGTAACAGCCCTATCTAATGACATAATATTATATTTTATTGTAGGCCATATTTCTTCACAATCCACCATTTCATAGTATTTGCTTATATCTATATTTAGGTTACTACAAGTTATGCTACCGTAATATTGATATAAATGTTGTCTAGGTGTGTATATTTTGAATGTTTTGTAAGCATTTTTATCAGTCGAGGTTCTGGGTTAAATGGCAGTGCTCTTTTTAAGTTGATGAATAGTTGCCAAACTATTTTCCAATGTTGGCACCACTTATTTTCCATATAAATAATTGCTGTGATTGTGCATATTACAGACATTACAGTGTGGGTTCTTGGTGTAGTCCCTCACTTAAATGGGTTCCCTTGTGGTTTTGGCCAGTTGTTCAGCTTCTTTGGATAAACGTCTACTGAAGTGTTTACTATGATTTAAAATGGGAGACATCTTCCTAAGGAAGGGACCTGGGCCACTGAGCTACCACTTGAGTTCTTCTCTGTCTTTTGATTCTGGCACTGAAGAGTTCCTCAGATATTTTCCATATGAAACGATTCTTACATTGAAATACCGACATCTCTTGGTTATCTTTTAATTTTGGTGGTAGCTTCCTTGAAGGGTAAAATTTTAAATTTTAGATTAATTTAAATTTAAGTATTTCTTTAATTTTGGGGATTTATAATGAGAAACTTTGGGGTACAGTCCCAAGACCCTCTTTAGGGTACAGATTGGTTGCTATAACAAGTGAGGGGGACTTTTTTCTTAGGGTATCTGAGGCGAACGCATGACCTCTCTTACTCTGTGCTTTTCAGAATCAGCCTCTTTATTGTTTTGTGTCTGATTTTCTTGTCCCAATTCTAATTTTTCCTAGATTCTTCTCTTCTTCTTTTTTCTAGGCTAAAAAGTCTTCTTTTCACAGCAGCCTAGAAGCAAAAAAAAAAAAAAAAAAGTCTCAGGAATTACCTCTCAGTAATCAAAAGCACATTCCTAGGGCAAGTGATGGGGAATTGAACCACTGCCAGGGCAACACAAGGTTCCAAGGTTACAGGGGTAAGACCATGACCAAACATGGGTACAATGCTCAGTGACAAACTCTGAGGCATAGGTCTATTGTTAGCAGACTGGCAAGCAAAGAATTGGCCTGCTTTTTTTAGGGTGCTTTGTGTAGCAACCTGGTTGGACAGCTGCAATGCTGACCCTGTGCACAGCTGTGAAGTTTTAAGCTTATGATCCATTTCCAAAAAGCCTTTGGTCCAGTTTGAACTTGCTTTGAGGTGAAAGTGAACTAATTGTGTGTAGTCTGAGCAAAATGGAGCCAAGCAGGTTTTTAAATGTCTACAGTCCTTGAGGAAAATACAGATTTAGTTAAGACGCGTGTATTCTATACATCAAAATTATATAGGTAAATGAAAAGTCATCTTCCTGACAACCCATGGACATATGTGTCCATAAGACTGAAATGTTTTCAGGAGATTACATATACACATCACATGAGATTACACACATTCCCATAAGTCCCATTCTGTACCCAGACCTACATGACTTAAAAACAAATAACAATCCTCAGTAATAAGGCATTCAAATCCAATGTTAAAAGCAATACATTTATTTTTAGTACTTTGTTCTCAATGGAGAATTTCCCACATATTATGAAATTAAATAAAGTAGTGATGCTACCTCTATCAAATGTCTGCATTCTCTTCTGTCCTTAGGAAATGTATTACAGTCACACTTTCAATGCATGTTCTATCAACTTTTATTTATTTATTTATTTATCTATCTATTTATTTATTTGTAGCAAATGGCCCTAACAAAAGCTTAGGTGAGCCAGGCGGTGGTGGCGCACACCTTTAATCCCAGCACTCGGGAGGCAGAGGCAGGCGGATCTCTGTGAGTTCGAGGCCAGCCTGGTCTACAAGAGCTAGTTCCAGGACAGGCACCAAAGCTACAGAGAAACCCTGTCTCAAAAAAACCAAAAAAAAAAAGCTTAGGTGTTACGTTAGCTTTTTCAACAGGACTGGCAAATCCTTAGACAAGAGAGTCACACACCAGTTACTGGAGTAGATGGTACCTTTGTGAGGACAAAGGCTGAGGAATAGAGACAAGCTCATTCTTTAGTATCACCGCACATCACCCAGCCAGACTTCATACATAATATCTTTGTAAGCACCAAATTTCACTAACCTCAGTGTCATGTGAATGAGTCCATAGTGACCTGCTAATGAGAATGTTTTGTAAAATAACAGTCTTTTCTCAGAATCTAATTGAGGATTTCTAATTAGTGTGTATGTGTGTGTGTGTGTGTGTGTGGTGTGATATTATTATAAAATCACATTTACTTAGAAATTTATTAAAATTACGTTAACCATTAAATGCCAATGAATACTTCTCTTATTTGTATGTTAATGACTTTCTCCATTTACTTTAATTAAGCAATTAGAGGAAAGTTTAGATGAAAAAATACCAGCAGTTAAAATAGCTCACTTCACCTGTAGAATAGAATAACAGCAAGATAACAGAGTCTGATTCCTTGGACTAATGTTGTAAAGAGTTTCAGCGCACTCTCTGTGGTAGAGACCTGCAGCAAAGGGCAGCTGAGTTTCCACCACCGATTTACAAGCTGTCATGAAACACCAGTGTCTGGTTATTTATCACGCAGCCTTTCATCCCTTCCAGTATGGATCTCTCCCATCACTCCACTGAAACCGGAAGGTCAGAAATTATTGATGCTGTAGTGTTCAACCCTATGACCTTTTAATGCTTGAAAAGTGAAGACTTCACACAGCATCACACCCTTGTACAGCAAGTATAGTTCTGGGACATAAAACTGCCTGGTTACACTCTGATTCCCTTCTTGCTTCCATTCCTCCTCTTCGTCAGGCCTCCATTGCTCCACAAAATACAGATGTTATTCAAGCATCTAAATGACTTTGTTTTGTCTTGGGACCATTCTCCTCTTGTTTCCAGTGATCACCTTTCAATAGGATAAAATCACAATGCAAATGAATCCAAAATGTTGTCTCTGGTGTGCCTAATATAATCCTGGCATTACAAATGTCAGCAAAATATTGCTGATGGTATTGTACAATAAGAGGAAACTGTGAATCATGTAGAAATAGCCCTCCATAAGTAAGGAGAAAACTCAGAAAGACACAAAACAGAACAGGGACTCATAACTTTCATGAAGGCAAGTCTCTTTTGTTTAGAGACATACTGTCAGATTTTTTAATCAGATAGTTTCATTTTTATGATAGTTATATTTTCTGTGGTTCAGCGGGTGTTACAGAGGCCTGAGCTTCACGAAGAAATTGGAAAAATAGGTTTACAATGTCTTACTGTCTACTCGTTCTTAGTTAAAATAGTCATTTTTGTTTTGGATTAAATTTTAGTTTAAAGATTGGTACCCTAATAAATAAGGGATATAAATAACAAAAAGTGAACTGAGGGCTATAAATACAAAGCAAAACCACCCCTGCTAAATATTACTCTAGGTTCAAACCGTTCCCTAGGTAACTGTTGTTAAGAAAGTTGATAAAAGTTTTTATGCCTTTTCTTATTGTAGCCTGTCATGATGTGTTTGGTTCATGTCCCTTGGAGGCCCTGCCCTTTTCTAAAGGTAATGAAAGAGGACTGGATCTGAAGTAGAGGGGAACTTGAGACGGGACTGGGGAGAGTTGAGGAAGGGAATATTGTGATTGCAACATAATGTGAAGGAGGAGACTAAATTAAAAACAACAATTAACAATAAAAGGGGAGTTTGTTTTCAATTATTCTGACATGCGTTACTTTTAAAATCTGAGGTCATAAAGAGGGCTGCCAGGACCACAAGGCCCTCTAATATTTCCTGTCCTTAATAATCAAGGGGACTGCCTTTATTTTTTCTCTTTAAGGTTTGGGCATCAGTTTATATGACAATTTTCTTCTCTATTCTTTCAATATGAATCTGATTCAGTCTTGAACAGAGCATGAGAACACCTCAACTATACCACATTACCTCTCTGTGCTGTTCACTCAGCAGTAGTCCAGGACATTTTAACGTACAGAATCCCTCAACCTTTGTCCACCAGATTCTCTCATTTGCCAGTTATGAGACAAAATACAGACTTCACTTCAGTTCCGTTATTGAGGGATTCAAATATAACAAGACAATGAATCACAGAAAGCAGAAATTAAAGCACAGTAGCCAGGATGAAGACATCACAGAGAGACTTAAATGTACGTGGTAATTAACAGTGATGAACTGGCATCCTTATTGCTAATTACAAAGTTTGTGGAAATTGATCATAGCTACTTTCATCATCATGAGCTGATCTTCAAATTGTATTTCATCTCTTTTCTGGTGCATTTATTGGACACCATTCACTAAATTTTTTATCAGGAAGCAATTCTAATTCTTTTTTCATTTTTTAATTACAAAATGAATACATTATCTAGAAAAAAGTTTGTAGATTTCAAATAAAATATTAATTATATTTTCAATAGTATAATTTTATTTGTAGCCATGAAGGAAACTATTTTAGAGTCTTTCTCATTTTTTTTCTGTTTATGCTACTTTGTCCTTTTCTCTGTTGATTCCTCTAATAGCCAGTCATGGTGAGGGACCATTTTAAAGTCACATTCCCTAGAGAGTCTCATTCAACTAACCTGATGACTAGAGTAATCAGAATCAGCATGAACATTGAAGAATAGTTCTCACAACTTCAAAACCTCCAGTGCTTCCTTCAGTAAGAGTCAGAAAAGCTACCTACACAAGCCCAAATCCTAGACATTCACCTTCCTGCTTCCCTGTCCCTCACATTTTACATTTTATCCACTACCAAATTCTGGTTCTTTTGTCATTTGGGTATTTCCCAAGCCAGCCTAATACCTTGCTTCTCCATGACCACCACCCAAGTGTTACTTATCAGTTAAACTAAAGTCAAAGTAAAGGCAGCTACTAAGGAATGCTTGATGTTTTCTACTCAGTTCCTCCTTATGTGTTCTTTCCTGAGATTTGCTTCAAACCAAAGTTACTCAACTATATCTACATAACAAGAGTAATAATCTATGGATTTACTCCTCATTAAGTCAGAACATGACTGCAACGAGCTTCACACAACTTTTTTAACATACCCTAAAAACTCCAAAATATAGGTACTTGCTTTTCTGTTACTTCCTTATTAATTGCTCCTGTGGAGAACATAGGAGCAATGGGCATGTGTGAGTACTGAACCTTGGATATGTGGGTGTCACAAAGTGAAATGGTCTTCTAAAAATAAAATACATATAATATTTCAAAAAATTGTTATTGTAAAAATAATGCTACATATCTCACGAGTGACATTTTATATAGATTATAGGCTATCATATTATTGTTATTTTTGATGTATTGGCTTCAAATACATCATTACATTCACCTAGATTTTCTCCATTTTCTCTTATTTACATATTTTAAATATTTCTTTTCTGGAATGGCAATATACTTTTTGTAAAGTCCCCAAATTGATTTTATATGAACAAATATTTAAAATGGGAAAACTATCTTAGAAGAGTAGTTCTCAAAATCCTGACCAAGGGTGGGAGGATGAGACATTTTAATGTTTTAAAGTATATATGTATATTCACCGTACATGTTTGGTGATGAGTTGATTCAAGCATAGGAACTTACACCCGCCAGCCAAGTTATCTACCATTATCTTGCAACATTTATCTGTTAAAATCATAAATCAACTCTTTCATGCAAGGTATTATTTAAAGTACCTTTTATTAAATTTATTCTCTGAAAATGCCATCCTTGCAGAAACTACATTCTGATTTCTCTCACTGCTCAAGAGTTGCTTTTTACCCCTCCCATTCCCGTTAACCTTCCCCCCTAAGAGTCAAACCCCTCTTATAACCACGTCTTTTGTTTTATTTTGTG